TTCTCTATAAAATGGTCTCTCTCACTCTAATTGGATTCCTGAGGGTTCATGTGTTCGATATAGAAACACACACGTGCTTATCGAATGAATTCGAACGACTTGTATAGGAAATAGTCCAAAATCATACCTGCGGGTCCATGGTCCGTAGACGACATCCAACTATGTTCAAAAATAAATATGTCAACTTCTCTCACTTTTCTTTCAGCTTCTGGTCAGCTGATTCACCCTCTGCTGTGAATCCGTATTAGCTAAGGGTGAGAAAGCGGAATGCGGTTGATGGAAATTGTCGAACTTTGATTTGTCTGCACACTTCCCCTTGGTTAATGTGTCCAAAAGCAAACTATTAAATCCAATTTATATATTATATTATGTGTATATATATAACATTATATATATATAACACCATACAACATACATCTGCTGAAGTGGGTATTGGGTATGTGAAATTCAGCCAGATACGATCTCGAGAAAGATGCGCTCGACCCACCAGTGCAGTCAGGACTCAAAAGCCCTGAAAAACTGGTCGTCCGATGTTCTCCCATTTTAAGGCCACGCCATCGTAAGGCTGCTCTCTTTACCTCGGATTACGTTTCAATCGGACGGAGACAATCTGGTCATGTGAAAAACAGCCAAGATACTACAAGTACCATGTACAAAGATCATCCAATTTTGTTCAGGCCATGAACCCGAGCTCATGTGTCATATGGGTCAAGAGTCTTTCACGGCACCAGTGGCAAAACACCATTGTAAGGGTTCAAACCCAGGTCAAAAGCGGAAAAGGATAAGGCACTTCTTAGTCAAAAATATACCAGTGAACATGGGCGGATGTCGTGCTTCTTTGTCCACAAGCTTCCCCCAACCTCCTCCGTCAAGATGCCTCGCTTGATCAGTTGCGAAGCATCACGGCGGCCCATTTCGGGAAGGATTCCTCAGCGGAATCATGGATGTCATGATGTCATGGACCAAAGATGACGCATCCAGGTGTAGAGCGGGATGTTTTCGATCCAAGAAAAAGGAAAGTTCATCTCTTTAACCAAGAGAGATCAAAAGCTTCTTGTCGATATGATTTGACACCAACACTTTGTCTTGCGGGAAATCCTGCTTTAGTTCCATGCACCACCCAAGGACTCAGGGCGTTGGATGATTCTTTTCCGACGGATTGTGAGACACAATCTCTGTTCACTGGTTGTGAGGGTTGGCTACCCAGGACCTTTTTGGCCAATCTTGGCCGGCTGCCAACGTCTGGAATTCATCTGCAACAAGAAGAATGTCAGCTCCGTAGATCGTTAAAACAGGAAAAATAACAAGGTCTGGGACCCCGACCTGCTGGGAATGTTTTAGCCACTTGCTCTCTCTCTCTCTCTCTCTCTCCTCTCTCTCTCACTTTTTCATGTCTTTCCCCTCAAAATTTAATTCGTCAGAGGACCAACCCTGGGAAACGTGTTTAAGACCATAAGTTAAAAAGTATTCTTGGGCTTGTCTACCCACCCGGACCCGCTGGGATAGCCCTGACATGAACAAATGAGTGCTAGCAAAAGGGAGGGAAGAAACTGGCTACAACGGAGAAAATCTAGAGGGGCCAACCCTGAGGATGTATTTTAAAGACCTTAGGTCAACAAGCACCCATGTCGTTTCAGTGTTCCACCAACAGAGAGGTGGGTAGACAATGCCAAGAAAACAAGCAAAAGGCATGTATATAGAAGCAAAAAAACTACAAACAAAAGGTACCGAAGAAAACAAGAATTCTGATGTCTACAGGATGGAGGGATCACAGGCATAGGCCTACAAGTACAGAGGCCAGGCATGGGCCAGTCAAATAGATTCGGATCTACTAGCAGGGCCCGTGGCCCAAAACTGCTGTGTATGTGTCCTGCCTTTGTCATGTGTTGGTCCACCGCACGGGACTGTCGACACCGGAACCCAGAGACCAAAAGCCAAAGCTCAAAATCCACCAAAACAAGTATAGGCGCGCGGCGTACAGCACTCTCGTTTTTGTGGCATTCTCTGCAGGAAAATATGAAGACGCAGCTAAGCATTGCATGGCACCTGATATTATCACATACACTTACTAACCTTCGGCATGACCATATGCCCAGCCCAGCATGGGCGCAAGGACATGATTTGCAAAGGGGCCAACCCCTGGGAATGGAGTTTAAAAGACCTTAAGCCTTGATTTCATTTCAGTGTTCTACCAAGGCTACCCCAACAGAGGGGTGGGTAGACAATCCCCACGAAGACAAGCAAAAACGGTAATATTGGAAAAGATAGGAAACATACAGAAAAATTACTAGTCAAGCCACATCGATAACTAAAATCAGTAGGGGGATGTAGGGGGTAACCTCCTGCCTCAAACGACTTTACTGTGGTAATTGTCTGACTGCAACCTATGTTTCATTTAAAGCATAAGCGCTCCCGTTTTCTTGACCTCCAATCGGGGACATAAACACATTTCAGGACATCTCAACATGTGAAAGGTCTCTGGAAAACCTCGGAATGGTCGACAGTAAACCTCCAATCCAAGGTTTGAGGCCCACCTCACTTGCAACCGAAGGACCAGCTCAGTTCGCTTGATCTTCGTGAAGGGAAGCGGCCCTGGAGGAATGCCCTCAGCACCAAAAATTCTCTTCAGACGTTCCTGGCAGGGATCCACGAAACACCACTTCATGCGTGTGCTGGGATTTCTCCAAGCCTCACCATCCCACCCACTATTCTACCCAAGCTGGAGATTTCGCTGAAGAGTGGACCACCCCTGCCCGGAGCTCCTCCTCTGAGTTCCGCTCGGGCGAGAAGGCATCCAAGGGGTCCTGCGGACCTGTGGCAGCTACGGGTCCTTCCATCTGGTCTGGTGGATGAAGGAGGTTTCCCATGAGCTATATATTTATGTATATATATAAAGTAAATTAAACAATAGATAAATATATATATACATACATATGTATTTATTTGTTTTTATTTATTTGTGCGGTTTTTGGTACCCCCCAAAGATCTACCTGCTTCATAAATACTGTTTAAAGCAAGAACTCCTCACTCCTCTACGTCCATGTCCTGACCTACCTTTTTTCATGTGTTTTAATACAGTGGTGTCAAATGTACAGGGTGTAGCATATATGTTATATAACAGGATTATATACGCATAGATTGGAGATAAACAAGTAATTAAAATAGATTAAAGTAGAAAAACTAGGTGTTTTTGGTTTCGGGTGTTGGTTTTGGCAGACTGTGAGAAGAACACAATTAGACAAGAGATAGAACAACAAATATGGGCTCAAGATTCAAGATTGATGGAAAACAATTTTTTTAGGCATCTTGAATCTTGAATCCAGGTTGAAGTCGAATAGCTATTTAATACCTACTTCATAAACACTGTATGACAAATCAAAAAAGGTTAGGCCATTGTCTCTTGCCATCAAAAAAATCTGACCCCACAATCCTTAGCTCCGTAGGTAATTCAATGTTAAGGATGTCATCATGTCATCAACCATGTTGTATTTAGGGTGTTCTTCCCGTTCATTGATGTAATCATCAATGGGAGCTTTTACGTGCTTTTACTCTGGGTTTGTTTACTTCCTGCTTCTGTTCCAATGTCTTTAGGTCGTGAATTAAGGAATAGACATAGATATTGTTGCTGTTTAACCATTGAAAAACCTCTTAATGCGATTAATCCGATGGTTTCTTTTGGGATTGACATATTAAACTCAATATATAATACCTGTTCCATTTCCTTAATGGATACCACCTTTCAGTCAACTCATCTCTGCCCATAATTCTCACTAACAGTTTCCTATTGAAAGCATTTTTTCTAGTTGTCCTACTCATCAGAGCAGCGTCATAAAATCAATTGTATAATGCATTCATACATTATCTATGAAATGACCTTCTTCAATGCCACTTGAATTGTGTCAGCATCTGTTTCGGTGTGTTTGTATAGTAGTGCTATATAGATATCTACATTGGCTGCATCTGTCAAATTGTCATTCAATACATGCATGCCTTTACCATTCTGCTTTATTTGCTCTACTGACTCTGATTTTGATACAGCCTAGGTTGTCATAATACATTGTCAAGTCCTTCAACTAAATCAACTGTTGTTTTATCATCACTAAACAATGTTTTATATTCTCATATTAAGGATTTTGTCACATAAAACTTTGGTATGTCTTCTGCATTTTCCCCTTTGAAAGTTCTCTTGCATATAAGATCCTCAGGAAAATCTGTCACATTTATATGTTGAAGGCTGACAGTGAAAGGTGTTTGTTTGATACCAAGCTCTTTGAAGTCTCCCTCGACATAGTCTTAAAGGACAAAATCAACAAAAAAAGGTCTTCTTCTGCTTCCCTTTCTCTGCATCAAACAACCTTTGCCTTTTGCTCCTGTATGTGTTCAAACTATTGTCTCAGCCCTCTGCATGTTCTTTGCTGCTTGTAGATCTATCTATAATATTGACTTAGACATCCATGCGAGAGGCGAAAATGGTAGATCTTTGGAGGGTAGCCTATATTTACATAAATATGGTCAATGGAGTTCCATTCATCAACTTTGGATTTGATTTGCCCCTTAATTTCAATCTACCACAATCTACCCCCTCGCTGACGTACATCGATGACTCTCAAACCATGGCCAATTGTCAAGGGATGTGCAGGTCAACCAGGCCTCGACCACGGGTGTAGGTGCGCCCACGGTTCTGCGATTCCTGAGGGGAATCCATTGGCTCACGACTCTTGGCTGTGCTTAAAACCCAAAAGCTCTCTGCTCAGCCGAAACGGCTGCGGCCGGCGGCCGCTCCTTCACCGTGACAACAATGTATGCCCAACATGATGTTTCACACGCTGACAAAACAATCCAGTCAAAACCGCTAACAAAAAAACATGTTAAACCGAACCACTCTTTCTGGTCAACATAATGATCATAAAACTTTTACTTCATTGGCTCCGTTCGTTGGGAGTGTGCCACGAGGCATGTCAACCGACGTCCGTCCCTCCCCGTTCACCCCGAGGCCATGCCTGCGAGGTGCGGTCCGGCCTGAAGGATCGTGTGCAAGTCCGGCCCCCCCAAAGGGAGGAGCCCAAACATCGTTCGCTGGCCCTTCCAAAGAAGAAAAAAAACAAGGTCTAAAGGTGGCTTCTTGCTCCTAGTAATAAGGCCAAGTAGTTTCTTGCTCCTAGTAGTTAAGGCCAGGAGCCCCTAGTAGTTTCTTGCTCCTAGTAATAAGGCCA